CGAAACTCAAATGAGATTAGTAAAGGATCTACATGAACTCCTCTGCTATAAAGAAAGCATCCATCACTCCTTATCCTCACCTTCCCCACCTTCTCTTCCTTTTCAATCTACTCCAAGTCTTTCAGCTGTTAGTCTAGCCAGTGAGATGTGGAGGGGACAGGATCATACTACAAGAGAAGAGTCTGATGCTTCTTTTATCATTGGTCAAGCTAGAGCAGTCCACTCTGTACTAAGAGCTGTGTCTACCAATGAACAAAGAAACAAGTGAGTCGCGTTTCATTTTAAAAAATTAGTGAAGGTTCTATTCATACGGTAATAAGCCTCTTAAAATATGTATCTTCTAAAATTATTTCCTTGACTCCTCAAAATTACGTGTGCATAACGTGTACATGTATGCAATTTTTTATGTTAATGGTCAAATTTTTGTAGGTCGTTTGTAATATATCGTGATCCATTGGTCAGTGAGGCCAGAAGAGCTCGTGTTGTATTGATCAAACTGAAGGAAAGAGTCAGGAAAGTACTGGTTGAATTACCGGATTATCCTCTTCTGAAACAAGTTAGGAACATTTTCTTATTTGTTTTCTTAACCTTCTGCTCTCTCCCCCTCATTCTCCAGATATTATTTGCTGTCGATCAAGTTCTTTCTCTTGATCTACTAAGTCCCTTAATGAAGATATTGGCTGGACTTGAAAATGTTTTGAAAAAATCACAAGTAATGATAAAAATTTTAAAATCAATTTTATATAGTCTTCTCTTTTAAATTAATAGGATTGGGAAGGATATGCTTGCTCTAGACTATCTATCTCCACTCAGCTCTCAGCTCTCACTGAACTTGTATTAGAATGGAGACGACTAGAACTCAAGTGAGTAAATTATAATTCTTTTTAATATGTTTTTGATATAAATTTACTTCATTCTATAGTTCTTGGTCTAATCTCCTAAGCATGTGTAAAGATGATTTCATTAGTCAGAGCTGCAAGTGGTGGTTTTATCTGTATGGCCTCATAAATGAAGAGAGTCTCTCAGAATCTGATGCTGTTACATTGTTGCAGTCATTCATTGAGTCCAGCTCTATTGGTGATTATACTAACAGGCTGAGAATGATTGAGAGCTTTGGTCTACAATTGGAAGAAGGTTTGTATGTACATGTATTTGTACTCAATTTATTGTTGCTTTATTTAAATTTATATTTTTTTGAATAATTATTTTTAAAATATAAGCTAAGAGCATTTTTTTAAATATACATTATTTTTTCAGATAACTCATCATTGAGTCATGTACTGTCTAATGTACATACGTACTATATTCAATTTGAGGAATCTGTCAATGACAATATTAACCAGCTTTCTGAGCCAATAGAAACTGGACTAAAAGTAAATATTAATACAATTACTATTGTACATGAATTGTGATGCGTATAGGATTATTTGAAGATACTAAGATGGAAAGATGGGAACTATTGGTCCATAAAACAGCAAAGCGAGAGGAGTCATGCCACACTCTCAAAACACATAAAGCAATATAAAGTAACTGATATTAGTAATTATAATAGTCTGTGTCATTATTAATATTATCTATAATGTTAGGATGTTCTCTCACAACCAGTCAAACCAGTTTTAACAACCGGTAGCATCAAAGAGAAATCTCATTCTAGTGAAGGTGATTCTGTGCTTGAAGGTTATGTATCACATCTTAAGAGTAGGGATGAGACAGTTGCTACATTTAATGGAGAGGTAATTTATAATGTTTGTTGGTGTATTTAATGTTCAATGGT